ACGAAACACGGATTTCAATCAGATTATACAAAGCAGTGGATAGATATGTTGAACGGTCAATGTAATGAAGTGGAAAATTTTAAATCATTTGGGATATTGGAATTCCAAATTTCTGTGTCGAGGTGTACATAATGGTGGTTCTTAATCGAGGTAGAAGTGAAGTATTGTTTTTCCCACCAGGAATTTCACGCATCATTTTTTCGGCTCTGTCAATCGAAACGCAAAATTAAACATGGGCATAAAGAAAAAACTTTCACCAAGATATACGCCAAAGCGGGGCTACAGAATTTTTAAAACCACAAAAATATGCGAAAAAACGTAAATGTATAAACTAATATTTAGGCAAAAACAGTTTCCAAACTTCTCACTCAAATTAGTTAAAGTTTTACGGAGCATTCATCTAGGAGAACGTTAGCAACTTTTCAGGCTGATTCCGGAATTGGCGTGGCTGGATGAAAAGACACGATGAATGGAAATCCCAACTGTGGCAGAAAATTGCTAAATTTGACTCATCGATGTTGTTGGCGTTATGTCGGTCCTAGCAGCGGAATTAGTGTAGCATTCAGTGTACAAATTATTAATGACACGTTTGAAATTTCTTCAACCTAAGAACAACGGCGTTTACAGAATTTCAATATTTCTATCCGGTGTCAAGATATATGGCACAATCGCTTTCCAGAGTGTCGGTTTCTGTTTGCAGAGCCCAGAAATAATGCTTTATTTACAAATCAGGTAAGGAAAATGCGATAGATACGTGGTAGTTTTTGTTTGCCGCTGAACCGCATTGATAGCTTTGAGCGTTAATTATTTTAGCAGCACGAGTTTATAGGACATGAAGGTCTTTGTGTAAGGAATGTGCAAGTTAATGGCAAACTGTTGAATTTTAGTCAGATATGACAATATTTTCCTATTGTCAACATAGAAGGGGACATCATTAAACTTAGTGTATCTGTGGTAGGAATACAAAAGCAACCCACGCACTGATCTCATAACAAACGAGGGCTGAACACAACTACCGATTAGTGTGATAATTGGCTGTGTAAGATTGCTTATTCAACCGTTTAACTTCCCATCGTCTTTTTTCGAATTTGTTGACTACTCGAATTCGTTGTTTTTGTTATAGATCGTCGCGAAATCTAATTATGGGAAGTTCTCTTGCTTTGTGTAACACGAAGCCAAGTAATCCATTGTGTTAATTATAGTAACAGTTTCCTAAACGAGACTGTACTATCAGACTAAGACAATTGACATTGTGAACATATCATGTGCGAAACCTAGAGTACCTGACTGAGAAGACGCTGTGCAGGGGAGACGTGTTTGTCGAAAGATAAGCTCCAAATTAACTTCCTTTAAATTGCCATGTTTAGAAAATCATCCGACATTGGGTTGTACTATTCTCTTAGTTTAGTTGTAGGAGGGCTAATCCGATTTAACTAAAAACAGTCGCACTTATTTCAACATTAAATGCCGTTTTCAAACAGCGTGAGGCTTGGAAAGCGAACATCGGCAAACCGGTAACAGATGCGTCTTATTTTCATAGCTTTTCGACCTAAATCACTGGTGTGAATGAGGTATTTAAGACCGGGTTTTATCGTGGAAACAGAAAGAAAACTGTTACATTCAACTTTTTGCGAAAAATGAGCTCCACAACTAGCTTTAACAAAAGACAAATTATTTTAAATGTTGCGGCTAACGCTTATGACGCTCCAAGAACGATATCACCAATATGCAGAAATGCTCTTAGTTATACCTAATATTACAAAGATATTTATTATTATTGAACATAAAGCAATCGTCGCTGCCACATTTATTGCGTGGAAATTGACTGTAATATGAGTTTCTAAACATTTTCCAACTAATTTTCAATTAACTCAGTTTGGTAATGTGATTGGTAATAATATCACGAGTAGATTCATTGTGATCGAATGTATTGCGCTGGATACAAAGACCACTACTGTTCTGAAATATGCTAATGCATTAGTACAGTACATTCCAACACAACGAATAAAACAGTGGCATTAGTTGTGATTATACAATGGTCGAAAGCAGAAAACTAAAGTCAATAAAGAACTGATTATACCTCCGAAGATATAACCACTTACCATGCGCGGTAGTCACATCCACTGGTTGATATCCAATAAGCCGTATATTGCACAATTTGTTTCTAACTTGGGGACGGATAGTAATACAATATAAAAACCACGTTGCCTAATGTACCCAGGAAACTTTTACATTTAGACAAACCATAACTACCTGACCCACATTCATCCTAAACACTATTTACGATATAATCCACTTTTCCGCGCAAAAAATGATTGTCTATAGAACTGTCCGGTCGTGCACATAAAAATATGAGAGCAGGATTTAAATCACGACAAAAACGCAAGGACAAAGCCTTTAAATTCAGGGTTATTCGTATAATCCGGAAATAAATTTAATAAGCACAGTTGTTACTTTATTGCATTAAATTGATTTGTTTGTAAACGTGGCAATTAATTTGCGGTAGAATGCATGAAACAAATTTTGTTTTCCATGGTTATCATGTCGGATCGTGTTTTGTTTTTAGTGTCAATAAATTAGTAACCAGAGTACTAAAAACAATTAACCTGGAATTTTTGATGAGGCTTTTTATTGCCACCGCTGTAACAACAATTTTTCATTGTGCTAGTTTTCGTTCTAAATATATCCGAATTTGCAACTGAAAAGTTGCCTTATTTTGTGTATTTTGTGGAAAAAGGTCTTATATTAATGCCTTGTCTAAAATAAAACACGTACAGAGTAGGCCAAAATTAATAAGTGTGTATATGAAACAATATTTAAAAATGGTTATATTTGTGCTGGAAGTCTTAATAAGGGCATATGTAAACTGCGGCGCAACTAATCCGCTGATATTCCCCACCCCATGTAATAAATTGTGGCGGATAATAAAATCAGGTATCAGCCCTTAGTAGGATTACTCGTTTACGTGTAGAAACTGGGAATTACTGGAAACTCATTGCTTCTTCGGTATCACTCGGGTTAGTTCGGGACAATTTCCTTCCCAATTTTAGTGTCGCCTAAAAACGAGGAAAATCGAACTAGGATGATAGTTTTTTTCTTAAGAATCCTTACTAGACATATTTTGATCCTCTTTATAATATAACATTATTTACAAATAACAAAAATAACTAAGTATTAATTTCTGTCTAACTAAACATCGGTTTTTATTCTGACCATTAACGAAACGTGATATTGCTAAAAGAAATGTATGGGTCACTTGCGCGCCCCGGTCGGAAAAATCAGACAGTCTTCAACTTACCGGACAGTTGCGCGTAAACTACCTGGGACTAAGGGACACTTGCGCGCAGCGGTCAGAAAGATGTGCATATGATTTGAAAAGTTAATATCATAAACAGTGACCCTACTAAGGGCTGGTACCTGATTTTATCATCCGCTTTGTAGTGGCATTTACGAAATCAAAAACAATACATTTCCATTTTTTCTCTAAATAAGAGTGAATGACTTCGGACGACCCTGTTTTCGAACCGATTCTATTTTAGCGTTGGAGGTTTGAACCTCACAGTAAATGTTGTCTGTTCGTTATTGTTGTTCGAATTGTGTACAAAATGTACGTAAACTCTGCTAATTTAGTTAATTAGTTGGTGTAAATCAGAGAAGCTACATCCACAAAGAGAGATAGGTTGTTAAGGTAGAATTCCCCTCTACATGTAGCACTGCATGTTAGTAATTCGTTGTGAAATGTAGCCAAATACAGCACTATTTAAATATAATGGGAAAATGCAATATTTGAACGATCATTTATCGCCCCCTAGTGTGATACTGTGTTGATTAACACTGAAATATTAACACGTATTTTCCTGTTGGTAGTGCGATAATTATGGAAACGAGTAGAAAATGCAGATGCGTGACGTCATCGAAACTCGTTAGTATTTTTGTTGAATGTGCGCCTGCTTCGTTTCTGTTTCAGTGTGCCCGTGGATATTTTTAAACTTAAAACAAGATAAAAATAATTGTAAAATATTTATGAAGCAAAAGGATTAAGAAAAATAATGAGTGGAGATACAGAACTGGCAGGCCTCCTCCGCCTTGCTTGTTTTCACGGAGGTTTTATTTAAACGATAATTTTTATTAATATTTTTTTCGTTTGGGATGAAAGCGATCTCTTCGGTAACTGTTTATTTTTCCGTCCTCTTATCCTAATTGTTTTAATGTTAGTAAGTAAGGTGTACGTTATTTTTTAACTTTAATTCGAGTGGAAATTTATGTTAGTTACCTTAGTTGAAATGCATACAGTGCAGGCCTACTCTGATTCGTTTTATTTTCGATAAAGCTTATATTTGCCACTAAGCAATGTAAAACCGTGTATAAGTGGATGTTTGTGCGTAGCTGAAATTCAAAAAGTGATGATTTTTGGAATTCGTTGAGTTATAGCGGGGTATTTTTTCATAAAGATTTCACAAAGTGAATTTATCCCCATAAAATCTGGCGCTCGTATTATCCGGTTAAAGTTCGGAAATGTGAGGTTTGACTAGACGGGGCACTCTTATAAGGGAACGATTTTGATTTGCATTCATGGCTGCTCTGCTATTTTAATATAATAACAAAGACTTTGCTTCTATAATGAGAAGTTGTTGTCGAGTGGCAACTGCTGGTAGCTGTCAATTATACTTGGAAATATTGATATTCCGAAATATGCATTCGGCAACACGTGAATGCAAAAACAATGCGACATGTTGAGAGTCCCGTTAAATGAATTAGGCAAGTAGTTCGAGGGTATAAAGCTAATTCGCGAAAATATTGAATTTGGGGAGCGTCTGCGAGAGAAACATTAAGGTTTGAGGGTGATTGGGGAAGTTGTAATCTAGCAATTGGTGTAAAAAGTGTGGATGAAGTTGGTGCGAGGGTTGATCATAGAATCGTCTGGTTGTTAATTTAGCAAAACCAATATTGGGAAATGGGGGAAAATGAAAGAGCCAAATCGGAGTAGTTATGAGTTTTACCTTCTGTAAGAATGGCCTGCAAGAGAGTGCAAAAAAGGAAAGTTGCTTGCGTGGCTGTCATATTGTGAAGCTGACGCGCACACTGCCTATTTAAGACTCGCATCTTCGATTCCGTCCAACGTTGCACCGATCTCCACCATTCTGGAACCTGCGAACAAATCGCTGGGTGAATATAAGCATTTTTACTCGTATAATAAATTCTCATACTAAACGCCTTGCTTTATGACGTCTCCGGAATGGGATTTAGATTTTAAATCCCGGCAAGGGAGCGTAGGGTGCATGGGTTAACTATAACAATAAAGGGATGGCTTCAATTGTTCGGCAGTAACCGAGTGCCGCAGGTGTTGGGGTGGTTCCAATCTACCGTCTACAGTCTCGACGTGACGTAGCGCCTTATGCTGTCAGATATACGCCATGCACATTATAAACTTTGTTGAGTACATTCTAAATAATTTACGCAATATGAATACGAATATGTGGGGTTTATTAAAATGAGCGCGTTCTGAATTGCAGTAGCAGTAAATTTGCAGAGCGTATCAGGAATTACTGGTATTTTATGGCTTTGCACTCCGTGGCAAATTTCATATGCGTATGCGTGAATGTTCACCAGGCTCGTCATAGCGGCTATTTCCCTAAGAATTATATGAGTGGCGTTATATTTTCACACAATATTCCTTTCCGAAATATCCGCTTTCTAAACCATAATTTCACCCCTTCAACTCGAATAAAATAAAATTCTCATAAATATGCCACAGCTCGGGGCATTCATTAAATATAATAATAGTAACCCAACTAGCACAAAAATCCTCACACAAACTTTATGGATATTCTGGTATTTTAGTCACCACTTATTACGACATATACACATACTGTTTTATCAAAATAGGGTCTATGTGGTAAAACACTAATCAAAATTTATGTAATCATCCCCAACTTGACAATTTGACGACGGCATAACAAACTTTTGTACTTGTCGTTTATGAATCCGCCTTGATTTCCTACCTTAGGCATCAAAATTTTCGCAAAAAATCCAAACTGTATAATAAGCTTTTATAAGCGACGATGAATACGATGATTCCGTGGCACAGAGGGTAACAGTACTGACTTATTTTTATGTGGAGGTTATCAAATAAAATATTCTAAAATTAAATTTTATTGTATGATGAAACAACCATCGAGAAGGACTAGAAAAACATTTTCAAATGTAGTACATTTAAAATTGTCATATCTAATAAATGAAGTACACCGAAATAACATCTAATATTAAAATTTGTAATTTACATAATGAATAATTATTGGTAATTATGGTTGTGATAATCAATGCCCTTTTCATCCACTATTGTGTCGCACTGGTCAAGAATTTAAACATGTGTAAGTCTCAAAAGGGGATTCTTTTATTTACTAGAAATATAAAGGAATAACCCCAAAACGGACACACATTCAAGCACAGGCTCGTATTTATTTTTCTCCTATTGAAAAAGGATTTGTTTGTATCACAACCCATTTTTCTTGTCAACAGTGGGACATAAATTTGACCTCATTATTGACACATATATTGTGTCTTTTAGTAATTATTAATTTCGCTCTATTGATTTAACTTTGTCGATAAACATATTTGCCATTTTTCAAACGTTTTCCAAGATTTAAAGCTAAATAGGACACATTAATTGGAAAAACATGAATCAGTTGATTTTCGTGTTAGTAATTTAGGTAAAGTTGTGGCAAGATTTTACTTTTAGTTTGTTCGTTTGTTATATTCATGTATTTTGTATAACTCTGTTGATATTATAGATTTTTGAAATGTGAATGTTATTTTACAATGTGTTTTTTGTCTGGTCGAGCGTTTTCGGGCCCGGAGGAATGGGCCTAGTACGCGTTACCTCCGAAAGGGAACGCGAAAGACTGCAGTATGATCCGATCTGGTACAACTCTATGTCAACTCCTATGTTCTCGTTGGTGCCGACCGTCCAAAACCTTTAGTTCCTTTTAAAAGGGTTGCAAAATTTGGTACTAGGTACTTTTGTGTGACCCTGGGGCAATATAGGATACGAAGAAGACAAGCGGGACCACAGAATGGCCCAAACCCAGGTGTGGAATGGTACGCACTCCCACGATTGATCGTCGGCCCGCCGGAGCCTACAAGGTTCTTCCAACTTGACAAGCTGGGTTGTTAGCTTGGATGATTGTATTCAGTTAACCTTACCCATATGGTACGCGAGGGAACAGCATACTTTTCTAGAGCGCAATTTTATGGGGAAGTAGAGACGATTATAAAGTAGACACGTCTCTAGAGGTCAACAAATCCACCTACATGCCACGAGGTTTACGGAACTATTTCACATCTAACAGTCTGGCCAACCTCACCTCCCTTGGTACAGACTGGGTAGCGGACACTAGGATGCTCCGAAGGTTCGAGAAGCTTTGGCAAATACTTTAAAGCCTAAACCGCCTTTAGGAAGGCAGGTATCTCGAGAGAGCGTCCCTCTGAGAATGCTTGCAAGACGACATACTACTGGAACGGTTTCTTTCACTGGAATATTGTACCCTTGCTTTCAATGGATACTGACGAACCAGATAAATGAGCCGGGAAAGCTGTCCTCAGGATCTTAGAACTTTGAACCTCCCAATCTAGTTTGTCTAATTCGAAGAGTTAGCCTTTAGCAGCCTTGGTTCCAGTGTAGAAATTCGAGCTATTCCACGTTTGGCTGTCTGTCCCCTTCTTGGTTCGGTTTCCTCTTATTCGGAAGTACCTACGAACCTAACACTAGCTTCAATCCATCGTAGGTCAGAGCCCCGATTGACCAAATAATGAACTTCATCAATTCCTTTCTCTTATACAGAAGTCAAGGTTACGCCCAACTTCTCGAAATCATACTTAATCAGACATGTTTAAATGACTGCATCGTCCTCATGTTTTGACCACCTGAAAGTGTCCTTATACGTAGGCCATACGTCATGTATGTACACTATAGTTCAAGTAATGGTATTGTTTGGAACTGCTTCAAAAATCCCACGATTTGCTTTTAGGGAAGACCTCCTCATATACTGTAGTGTTAAACTTAATCAGTCGAATCCAAGGAGCGGAATTTTAAATATACTATAGTCTGGCTCTCTGTACCAGGGGATTGGTACTCAGTCCTTCTACTATTCCACAAGGACCTCATTCGTTGTACCTTGCGAAGGCTGGTTGCAACCTATCCATACCATAGATCCGGCTTCTTTGTACTTTGTACCTGTTAAATACTTGCGGGCCTAACGTCGATCTCTGTATTTGACTTTGACGATCTTTACATAATGATCGACATGGATGTATAGCTTTCTCGCCCAATAGGATAGCTGTCCTATGGAAGAATGGCTAGGTTTATCAGTACCCTCGAAGAGGTAGTGACAATCTTCTTAATGGTGGTCTCTCCCTTCAGGGAATGCCTTAAATTCTAAAACGTAGAAGACTTTGTCTCGAATGAGTTTCCAAAAAGGCCACCATATTTTTTCCCTTTAAGATACCCGTAAGACTGACGAACCCGACAGGTGTCCGACTTATGGTATTCTGTGAATCTCGTAATACACGCTGTTAGTTGAGAAAGGTGATTGTCGGGTCAGGTCCGGTCAGGTCCAAGGTACCGGGTGCGGACAGAATACCACCAGAGATATGTAAGACTTATGCGAAATAATGTGAAGAAGAATGTCTGGAAAAAGGGCAAGTTCCCAAGGACGTCTGGACGTCCGGAATGCCTTCAACACGGTATCGTGGAGAGGTATTCTGGAACCTTTGGTTAGTATGAGGGTGGAACCGTACCTCGTGAACATGGTGCTGTCCTACCTGAGTGATAGAGTGGTTCAAATGGAGATGGACAAGTTTCAAATGACTGATGGGGTTCCGCAGGGATCGGTCCTGGGGCCGCTCCTTTGGAACATATTTTATGACGAGGTATTAGGAATGGAGGTACCTGATGGGGTAAAGCTCATGACCTGAGAAAGGATCAAAGAAAATAAGAGCGAAGCGGTGCTGTTGGTAGGAAAAAGGACGATATCAGAAATGAGTGTGTGTATGGAAGACAGAACGATTGAGACCCGGGAAGCGGTGAGGTACCTTGGGGTGAAACTTCTAAGAAACCTCAGGGTGGTCGAGCAAGTCGAACGGGTGGTAAGGAAGGCAAAAATGGTTGTAGGTGCCCTGGGCCGACGGCTCCCCAATGTAGGAGGATCCAGGGCGAGTAAAAGGAGAATTTAGTGTCGTCCATGGGATTTCGTGGTTTGGGGCGGAGGCGTGGATCGATGGATACCACATACAGAAGAATCCACAGATGCTTCTGGGTGTCCAGAGAAACATGCTTATGGGGGTATGTTGTGCGTATCGCAAGGTGTCCGGACGGTTAATCCCGAACCTCACTGAATAGATCAACAGGGGGCACGGGGAGGTTAACCACTACACCTGCCAAGTGCTCACTGGTCATGGGAGTTTTGGGGCCAATCTCAAAAACATGGGTAAGATTGCATCCGTAGTCTGCTGGTATTGCAAGAAAAGGGTGGAAGAAAATGTAGAGCATGCTATTTTGAATGTGACGGATGGCCGAGGGTGAGAGAAGAATGCGAACTGGAGGTGGGAAAAAGAGTGAATGCAGACAATATGATTGAGTCGATGCTAAAGAATGAAGAGGGATGGATGGCAATAGAAAGCGTGCTAGTAACAGTGATGAAAATGAAATGTGAGTATGAAAGAGAGAGAGAAAGGAGAGAGGAGGTCAGTGAATAAAAAAAGAGGAAAGGCAACAATTAATAAAGACAGGCAAGAAAGAAATATAAAAAAAAGGATGGACAAGAAAGGAAGATGAAAATAAATAAGGAACGTAAGGAAGTGATTGGAAAAAAAGGACGGACAAGAAACCTTGGATGTGAAGGAAGCAAAAAAAGGCGAAGATTCTGATGGACAAGGCAAAAGAAAGCGACGACCAACCACCCCTCTGAAGTAATGCTAACGGGGTTGGGGGGGGGGTAGGAGAACAACTGGTTGAGGAAGGGGTTTTAGCCGGTAAAAGTCCTGGCACTACCAGGGACGGTCGAACCTAAATGAAGGTTTTCCCTTCCATAGAAAAAAAAAACGAGAATCTTTTAAGCAAAGCTTGTATGGTTTATATGATTCAACCATAA